CTACCACTGAACAACCAATGCTTGTTGATAGGGTTTGAACCTTTTAATAACAAGTATAAATTTAATACGACATGCTAAAGATGATCAAAGAAAATTATAAATAATAATAAATAAATATTTCCAACAAACACCAATTACCCTAGCCCCAAAGTAAGCACTATAAGGCTTGTGGTATGGGATACTATGGTAACTGATATAATACATAATATACCGTACTTAAATTAGTATATTTATATAGAAATACATATTAAACATCCATGACTGGAGTACAAATGCTCGTATTCATCACACAAACATCTGCCCCCACCGGTATTCGAACCCAGTACTCTAGTCAGCGATACCATGAAAGCCGGCGTAGAAACCACTCGGGCACGGAGGTTGTCATATCATCGGAGGTAAGGTCGAATTGTGGCGATGTAACATAAGTTTCACTTTAATAATCGTTTTCCACGCGTCTTCCCACACGGAAATTGAGGCTAAGTCCAGGCATTACAACACCGATTCCTGCGATCTCAAACTCTGACCATTAATTCAGTTTACGAGGTAGTTATAAGAATTTGTAAACGTCAAGCTAACGGTGTACAATTTTACTCTGCAATAGGAATTTTCATTCCGAAAATAACCAGCAAGAGCTGGACAAATCCCTGCTAGAAATATCGTCAAATTCAACAATACATTTAAATACAACTTGTGATTTCCTAAATGAATAACTACTACAAGTAACATTCAAAGCAAACACTGCAGCATCGAGAACAATATTCTTATTCTCAAGTCCACAAACAGCAATTCGAATAGAAACAGCAAGTAGGGAATTAAATTCGCTAAAGGAATTAAATGTCTGCTTTGAGTTAGGAGATTGGAAAACTCTGGAAAGCGGCACGGCTCAAACGATTTACAGTGATAACAGCTGCAGTACAACGACTATACTACCAATAGATAATAAGGTAAACTACAAGTATAAAAAAATCCATATCGTGCTTAAAATACTTATAACAAAGAAACTTAATAATAGAGTTTTTCATTTAAATTTATAAATAAAGAAGTTTTAGACTCTTACACTAAAATCAGCTAGCTCTAAATTAAACATGATTCTAGATACGTATAAAAACAAAGACAATATAACTAGAAAAAAATCCACGCGGACCAGGCAGCAGACGGGACTCGAACCCGCGCCCTTCGCTATCCAGGCGAATGCACTGACCAATTATGCTACCGCGGCCCTGACGGCCCCGTCGAAATTCTTCTAGCCATTCTTAAGCTGCAAAGCAGCGCCATTTCTTCGTATTGTAGGTAACCCACAATGTCAAATGAATCTAGGTATATTTTCTTTAGATTTAAACATAAAGCAGTTACATGCTTATAAATAAAAATTATAACGTATAAAAATAGTTTAATAAACAGTCATGACACATATGAAAATGTACGTGCATTTTATTTACGTTTTACGCTAAACACGGATTTAAACCCAAGGGAGGGGAGGTGTTGCATTCGTAGTCTGGTTCACTAACTAAGGTTAAGCAAGGTGTCAAAATAGGTGAAGTCATAAGCTGTTATAAGATGAGAAAGGTAATGTACACTGATTTCCACGGAGCATCTCCGCCATCTCTGTTTTCATACAAAGTACTCCAGCCCATACCCCATGTTACTCAATCTCCAATCTTGTAGAAGTCTAGAACGTTAAGATCGTAGCCACGGGACAAGCTCATCGTTCCGACTCCGATTAGTGTGCGTTGCAGTAGGGAGTTTCATAAAGAATACTGAATGACTCGAGTTAATACGGTGACGATCCCGTTCCAAGGTGATATGTCTTTACTATGCAAAAGAAACCCAAATCGCAGTGTTATTTCACCGTGGTCTTGTGAAAGGCGGAGGCTAGTATCACAGAATTTTAAGAGGCGTTAGGTCCTGAACACTTAGCGATGTTACTGCTAAAATTGGAGCGCCCGGCCGGAGAAGCAATAAGACATTGAAAACGGAATCCTTACTTATTGCAGCTAATTTCCCCACCCCACCTAACCAAAGTGTAATCTGGTTTGATTTCATGAAAATTTTCTTGCTCTTTTTAATGGGTTTACTTTGTTACACCAAATATTTTTTACACCAATTGTCCCTTTCTGGGAGTAGATAAAGCCTTGTCTAGGCATCAATTAACGCGCAACAAATGACACTCAACATGCTCGCTTTTATTTGGGTAAGATCCCGATGCTGCGTTCCATCTGGCAACGTTTGGTGTTGTAGTTCTCAGTACAAGGTCTCCCGCCGTAGATTTACGAACCGATGGCGTAGCTTCTAGACATTCATAAGTGCTTGTAACAGCCTAAACTGAATAAATGATTCTGATTATTATATTGCAACATTACCGAATATGTTGAGCGTCATGTGTTACGCGTCACCTGTTGCCTAGTAGATTAACTGTTGAAATAGTCATTAAATATGCTTATATTTTTAAGGGCTCCTTGTGTTTGTCTAGGAATCTATTATCAAAACTTGGTGAATACGGAAACACCTTTCGAGCATTTCACGAGAATAGCGGCAAACTGCAAGATCCAGGTCAACTTTAAGTCTCCCATAATGCACGTGACAACATTTTTTTTAGAATTTGCTTGCTTCTTTGCTTTCCGCAGTACACATAGTAAAAGCCTATCAACAGATAGAGGATATTCAGCAGCTGTTACAGGCGATAACTTAAAAAGGTGTCACTATTGGTTTCTAAGTAGATAAAAACCAGGAGATTTTCCCAGGTGGGAGAGTTGAACCATCTTTCAAAATTGTATTAAAATTTAGCGTAAACAAAACGTCAATTCATTCATTGGACGCCAATCACAACAAAATAGTCTTGCGTGTGACCAATGAACTAATTGACGCTTAATTTAAATACAATTTTGAAAGATAGTTCAATTCACCCACCAGGGGCCCAATCGCCTAGCGAGATGGCTATGGAAGGTTTTGAAATGCCTCCCTTTTTTTTCTTTTGCATTGGTAAAAACAATATTAAAGAAAATGAGCGTAAGGTATTTGAAAACCTTCGGGGGTCAGAAATAACAAAATGTAATCGTAAGCTATAGCGATAGCCATAGCCATAACGATAAACCCCCTAGGCAAGTCTCCCGGTTTTTCCCTACATCTTGGACCCGACTATAGCAACGTTGAGGTGCGGCTATAGTCCAATAGCCGCACCTCAACGTTGCTATAGTCGGTTGCTCAACGGTGGAGGTTGGAGCATCACCCAAAGGGACTCTGATCACTGCGATTGGCGGTATATGCTCAAACGGCCCTTCTTAGGGCCAAGGAGGGCGGGAGAGACTACGCTCTCACTCCCAATCCTGCGAGAGCCGCGAGTCTGCCCTTGGGGGGGGGAATTGCCCACATTGTACAAGCTCTCTGAATGTTGATGACACTAATACTCCTGGGCATCTTCATCGGGGTGGGTTCGTTCGCGGACAATCACCTTGCGGGTGCGCGGACAGTCGGCAACGGTAGCCGCGACCACACCCGCATTCCCGGCGTGCACTGCAGTCCTCAGAATGTACGCCGGGTGACCGGTGCAGGAGTATTGTCTGATTTTTAGTGGGCCTGTTCAGGGCGTTATATAGGGCCCTGCTCATTTCACCCGGCCCAAGGGCTGGCTGTAATGAGGAAGGAGGAGTCCCACATACCTTCTTCTCGCTCCCCAGGTAGTTGAAGAATGTGTAAAAAAAATAAGAAAAAGGCTCCACGAGGTAGGGATTAGGTCAGGGTAGGCAACAGCGCCAGTAATAATTTTAGTAAGACAAGCGTCTATAGGCCGCTTACATCAGGCAGGCCATATGCTTCTTTGCCACCCTTTTAACATAGAATAAAAAGTAAAATAGAACACTCTTCTTCTTCTTAAATTCACCTCGACCACTAAAAACACATTTCACGTTGATTGTTTCCAACCGTAGTGATATGTCAATTTTCGGAAACTAAAGTGACAGATTGCGAACCTATCCTCTTCAGCATTTTCCGAAACCGCTAGCTAGTCCTCTGATACTACTTGCGCATCAAATAAAAGTAGCTGGAGCGTTATGTTTTTGTTTCGCTTTAAATCCGGAAGTTATGCTTCAAATAACAATATAGATACATCAAATATAATATCAACATTTTCAGTTCCAGTTAACAGAAAATATATCAATTTAAAAACCAACGATCTTACTTTCACCAATGAAGCAATAATTGCTTTCGAATATATCATTACACAATAGCAAAATTAAGGCTTTGTTTCATTATTAACAGTAATTATTCGATCATACTCGTACCGTGTAATTAGGTTGATTCTGTATAGGTAAACTTAGGATCAATTATGTTAAGAGGCGCCTTGTACGTTAACCTCTTTTAATAAAATGTGCTTAATATTGTTTTATGTATTATTTACTTTATTATCTTCCAAATCCATTTTGTACTGAAAGCATTTCAAAAATTGTATCGTAGCGTTTACCATCCGATGTCATACTACGGAAGCTACGATGTAACGCTACGACCGTAGCCAATGCTACAAAACCTGTCACTAATAACGCTCTGTTGCTACAATTGATTAATGAACACATACAACACACATAACCTATCCCGTTGTACATCCACACGCTAAATAATATCAGATGAACGGGAATATGAACTCAAGTGATATTGAAAAGCTACACCGAACGATTTCTTGGCAACATCCTACATCCCGTCGGCAGGCAGTCCTATTACTTTTACTATCCATAGTAAACAATACATTGAACATGCGAGAACCGAAAATGATACGGCACCTATCAACATTTATGTAATCTGTCAACGGACACACGCCTAGATAAGCGTGACTTTCCAATAACAAACGACGTCCTTCGGTTACGTAAAGCTAGAATTTTGTAAATCCAGAAACGAAATTTGGAACGATCGATAGGAAAAACGGCGTTTACGAAAAAACAAGCGCTATTCGTTGATCCGCGTGTGCGAGAGGTTATTTTATTATTGATAATTGGTTGTTAGTGTTTGCTTACTTTGATAGTTGGAGGGTAGACGCGTCGGAGCGGTCACCTAGTGGAATCCATTGATGGGTCGGATCGGGCGGGTCACATGTCACAGCGGGTGCGAGCGGACGCGCGCGCGGTTCGGGGCTCGCGGCCGTACTGACTCGGCCGAATGCCGGCGCACGTGGCGAGCGCGCCCTGGGGGTCGATTCTGCTAAGCCAACGTAGAATTCGTCTCCCAATCTCAATAGAGGTCCAATGTAACCTCTTTTTGGCACAAATATTAAAATCGTAATAAAAACTGAAATTCGTTCATTCAGTTTAGGCTTTTGAACGGCTTTAAAGTTGCTCGCAAATCAACGGCGGGAGACCTCGTACTCAGAATAAACCGGAAAAAAACTCAGTTTCTTGACAAAGTACACCCAGGAAAAGAAATTTACAATTCTAATAAAAAAAATAAGTAGGTAAAGATGTTAAAAGCTCAAAAAATCATTTTGTTCAGTTTAAGCTTTTACAAGCACATGTGAAAGTCGAAAGCTATGCCATTGGTTGGAAAAAATTACAGTGGAACACAAAACAAAAAAAACATATTATAAATAACAATAAAAACATCGGTAGGTAAGCAAATATTTTTGTGATTTTGTATTTTCAGTAAGTATCAATAACTGTATCATAAATCAAAACTACTGAAATCCCACTAAAACATGGTTACAAAGCCGCAAAGTCTCAACTAATACATTGTCTCTTTTAACCTAGACATTGGCAGAACCGTCACGTAATGAGACGCGGTCATGAACAACAAAAATATAATTGAGTTGAGACACAGTTATTACATTGACAAAGCAGAATCGACGTCCTGGTGTGGTGCGTTTGGGACACTCGCTCGTCGCGTCGCACCGGAGAGAAACCTCTCCTGAGGGAGTCATACATGACAACTTTCATTGTAGTTAGGCTCACTCGAGGTGCAATCAACTGTCCCAACATAGTTTAAACGATCCAAACAATGGTAAGCATTAATCGGGAAACTTTGTATCCTGCTTAATCACCTTAACCCAGCTGTAGCAGAATTGTGAGCTAATTTAATTTCAAACGTTATCAAGGTTATCTCTTTTAGCTCGATTTTTACATACGCTGTATGCGAGCGTTCCTATTACACGGCAATATATTAAAGGCGCCCTTGAAACTGTACGACCTTCAGACCTTCACATATAAGTAATAATACGGGTAATAATTAAAAAATGAATTCTGCGAAAAAACCTATTCGTTTCACTTATTAGCCGGCGATGGAAACCTAGAACGGGTGTTAATTGTGTTAAGTCATTGATACATCACTTCATTTCTTTACCCCTTTTGCGAAGAAGACTTGGGAAACATACCTATTACAATAGGTAGATAGCGGTACTAGGATTCGAATTCTGATATGCAACATAGTCGTTATTCTTACCCCTTTTGTTAAGAAATCATGAAAAAGATACTACACAAATTTACATTGCGGCGCTGAGTTAAGGATTCTGGTAAGCATAAGCGTCGCACAGGACAATGCGTAATGAACGCACGCCGTTCGTTGTTTGCCAAGTCTTCCCCGGTGGAGGTTCCCGAACGCTCCCCAGGTATCAATCAATGACGCGAGGCGGCGGCGCGGGCGCGGCACATTCATGGCTGGCGAACAGCTGACGCCCGCCGTAAACATGAATCGGCCCTCCCCCATACCGCCGCCTCCGCCGCCGCCGTCGCCTGGCTGCGCACGCCGCCTCCGACCCGCCCAGACCGAGTAAGACACGATTTACATTAGTGCGGAACAAAACAGCAGAAAATTTTGTTGCGAGGATATATTTTAGACCTACTTGGCAACAAAGTTCTTACATGATTCAAAACTAAATGATAAAATTACGTTGCCACACTCTTCCTCTATTTGAATTTAAAGAAATAACAAAGATTGAATGAAGTGGTTAACAGAATTAAAGCCCCGTTGTTTGATACTTAGTAAAATGTAACATTAGTAAAAGTAACGTCAAATACATAAAATGTAGACAAACGTTTACCTTTTTAACGTATTTTAACTTAAGTCACCTTTAAGTATAAATTGAACAAAGGAACTTAAACCTTAAGTTTATGTTGGTGCATAACGAGTGCATAGCCATTCTTAAGTTACATGCTTAATAAAAATTATAATTGCTATTTCTTCTTTCAAATGTTTAATACTTGTAAAAGTATTCATTTGACATTGTGGGTTACCTATAATGCGAAGAGATGACGCTGCCTTGCAGCTTAAGAATGGCTAGAAGAATTTCGACACGGTCCGTGAGGGCCGCGGTAGCATAATTGGTCAGTGCATTCGCCCGGATTGCGAAGGGTGCGGGTTCGAGTCCCGTCTGCTGCCTGGTCCGCGTGAAATTTTTTCTAGTTATATTTACTTTAGATTTAAACATCAAGCAATTACATGCTCTAAAAATAAAAATTATAAAATATACATTAATTGTTCACCTGCATTTTGATTGCTGTGTCAAACAGTATAAATACAAATAGTGTTACTTATATTAGGTGTAACTAGACATTAACATCTTCAATATTAAAGAAGGGCAGACTCATCTCAGCTGGCAGCACCCGTTCACGAGCATGACGCATATCATACAGTGTGCCTGATTCTAGCATGATTCTGTAAACTTAAAACTAAAAGTTACAGTACTACATACGTACATACCTTTATTTTACAAGCCAAGCTGAGAGACTGCTAAAAAAATAGTTTTTACATTAAAGAACCATGCCAGAATAATCAGACCAGTATGCTAATAAAATAGTTTTACATAAAATCCTATGTACAATTTCCTAGCAAAAGTTTTCTTCCATTTCGTCCCGCGTTATCGTCTAAAGCTATGTTCTGATAGTTTCAGCGCTAGGATATATTTACACCGCGTTTACATGCTGCCGTGGCTTGGCAAGCGTTCACAATCCAAAGTCGTTACAACGTACCAAAAGCTTTACTAACCAAATAATGCTAACTGTCATGTTTTCAGGGTGGACAGGGTCTTATGTGCACCCAGATCTAACTTGGCAAGCTTGTAAATGCATCATTCCGTTCTATGATAATAATGTATTAAGTATATATTAATAATGTAATGTTGTATTTGAAAGATTGTTTTTTTTAATAAGTAATAATAATAATTTATTGGAACTACTTTACATTTTCGTACATGATAATGTGAACCCTGTCCTCTGGACAAGGTTACCCTGAGGACCAGAAGACAGTGCTCTCCCCACTATTGTTACTATAGAGCTACAATAATTTAAAACTACTAAATAAAAATTATATAGAAATAATGTTAAAAAAGTACCTAGGTATAGCATTAACCGGTGTGTGTGTGTATGTGCGTGTGTTAGTGTGTATGTATATGTACCTGCGTTCGTGTTGTGTAGTGTATGTGCATTTGTTTTATCGCTTTTTTTCTGTCAATTCTATCCGTTACCCTAGTATCCCATAACACAAACCTACAGTACTTACTTTAGGGCTACGCTAATTGATGTGACTGTTGGAAATATATATATGATATTATATGGGCTAAATCTCAATTTAACATGAACTTGATAACATTAACGTTTTGACCTTTTTCTATGGTATAAATCTAGTTTAAGTTCATTATAGATTTAGTAAATTGGCTACAAGTGGGCCTTAGAATATCAATCAATTTTTACATATCTTATGAAGAACGGTTTCTCCTAAGACAGGTTTTCTGTAAAATTAAAAGGAGTGTTCGAAATCATTGTGATAATTTTATTAAGTTATTAAAACAAATAATAACAATACATATAAGTAAAGTTAGTGTATAAAGTAGCATATGTATTTAACTGAGTAATATCAAAATAGTCTTCTTCTATACCTATTTAGGAGAGCAAGTTTCATGTCAAAATATTTCTTTTTGTTTCGCCATAGAAATTTAGTACATAATATTTTTAGGTTTGATGTCCAAATATTCTTTCATATTCCTTGTAAAAATTAAACTTTTACTTTTTGTATAATCTATATTGGAAGGTATCAAAAACACATAACAGAGCACAATTTGTTTTTTCAAAATTCGCTTTAGAGAGATGTAAATGACATTGCTCGTTCCCCATACATTGAATGCCCCAGAACGCACAACAATGAGAACATACTAGTTGTGTTCGGAAGCATTCAAAAACTCTTATTAGGCATTTGTTGTAATACGGGCAACTTGAGGATCCGTGGCCTACTACAGAATGTATTAGATTTTTAGGTTATAATTATTATACTTAATCGTAAACGATGTACACTTAATATATTCTGAATAGATTTATTGTTTACCTCTATGTAAGCACGTAAATAATATGAATTAAATGAACATACAATGCAAATAATAATAAATTAAAATAAAAAAGTGCTCATATTCATATACCTACCTGATTAATAATAGATTTATTTTACTCTTTCCATTTACCTGTTTCTATATTTAACTATTGGTAATTAGGTATGTTTTTGGTGATCATTCTGTCTTTCATAAAAATAAACAGTAATTAAATGGGATAGGAATACTCGTAAAACTATCTTAACATAAACATAACATAAATACTAGTGATAAGTATTAATAACTAAGGAGGTAGATACCTAGTTCTATTCTTATGTTGATAAATACCTATAGTCGCATATATTACAGTTATTAAGACTCGATTTTAAGGCAGACTAGATATCGCACGCTTGAAATTGTGTGGTCTAATTGTCCCTCTATGCACAAGCGGTAGGAAGCTTTTGAATTTAAATGAGATAGTCTCTCAATGCTCTAAGGATGACATGACAGCAAATTGTGTAGTAGTTACAAAACTTTTAATTTTTCACTACAGTATATCCGTTTACTATGAATAATTACTAATAAAATAAAAAAAATATAGAAAGCATATGTTGAAGGACATTCTTTTGTGCGAACTGGAGCAGATTTCGTTTTTGTCCTTTATTAAACGATTCTCCACTACTTCAAGAAAAAAAAACTGTTCGTTTCTGACGAAAAAAAATCCTATATTATAAGCCCACAATCACTTATGCAAGGGGATTAGATCTTCCACTGGACCTGTTGCAGTTATTCCACTATGCCTAAAAAAACTCTATTACTAAAATTAGTAAACTGTAAAACTCTCTTTTT